ATAGGGGGGGGGGGGGGGGGGGGTGTGTTTTTGATCTCACCAATCTCTCATCCCGTTGAGTCTCGAAGTGGTGAAGCTTGTACACCATAGCAAGTCTTCTGGGGACTTGACCTGCAGCCCCTCGCACTCGGCAGACGGACACCTCAGGGTAATAGGGAAGAAGTCTTGCGAACAGTCATGCCACCACTCGTGCAGATCATGCAATATACTCCGAAGCGCACACTCGCCACAGACTGCCTGGCGATAGCATGGCAGAACAATGGCACGCAACTCGCGTAGCCATGAATCGATTGCACTTGGGCCTTCCGGCATCCACAACACCGCCTGCTTGCAGACCGCGCATGGGTACATACACGATTTACCTATTATCATCTTCTCTTCGTCGGTAGTCATGACCAGGAATTTTTCAGCTTCATTAGAGCTCAGGGGCTCGTCGAGTATGGATGCCTCAAGTGGAAACAGTGGCTCGCAGCAGAAGTTGATGGGCTTCTTCCCCAAGGAATCTATCGACTTCGTCTTTATCACCGTACAGGAGGCGAGCATGCGTCTGGTTAGCCCGCTCTCTGTCAAGCCTGGGACGAAATTAATATCGGACTGTTGTTGGCGTGTTAACTCCTCGTTCGTCTGCTCGAGTTCTGCTATCCGATATTCAGCCTCGGCGAGCTGACGCTTGAGCTCGACTATGTTGTCGTCCATGGCTTTAGCTAGGCGCAGCCGTGAGGCCGAGATTCCGTATAGGTGCGAGTAGAAGCGCTGACCGAGGGTGGGTTTGGGAGATTGTCGTCGGCTCGGTGGACCAGGGAGTATCCCCTTGGTCCTAGGGAGATACGATCTTGACGAGGAGAGGACGGAGGATTGATGTATAATACGACTTGATGAAAATTGAAAAAGTAACTATTTCATGTCATTCGAACTTTGTAAATAATACGGGGTTTCAATCAGAGTTTACAATACCTGGGCAGACAAATCTGTCGTCTCCAAAGTTAAGCCGAACTACTCGAGTGATATGGCAAGCTCCATCAGAAGCACAAGCTCGCCACTTCCCCATTTGCTAATGACCGCAGCTCCCAGAGGCATTTGATTCAGACCTCGCTACCTAGACTTCAGAGCTACCTGCCGAAAGAACTCGACTTCTTTAAGAGATGGGTCAAGATCGATTCACTGCGGTCTCGGCCGACTGAGTCCACTTTTAACGACTGGGAAAGGGTGCATACGATTCTTAGAATTGCAGATGTTGGACTAGAGAGTGTTTTTAAGCAGGTGGATCTGCCTTATATAGAGGTTGAAGACTTGATTGTAGCTCCTTGATCGAGTATTCATCCTTTCCCACAAATGGTAAATTCCACAGCTCAAACGTCTTTGACAGTCACTTGAGAGGGGGGGCCTTCTTCACCCTTGCCCCCTCCGTAGTATCCCTGAGACGATTCACCAAGGTTCTATTAAAGGCCGTGACTCTTTCCTCCGGCTCAGGGTCTCATGGCCGTCCATACGAGGACATGCTTGGTGATATTCAGGGGCTCATCTCAACTACCTTATCATTTCTCAAAGTTGCCAACAAAAAGGTGAAGAAAAAAAGTCATCACAACCGGCAAAAGCTTACAGACTCGCCCGGTGGGGAGTCTGCTACGAAAATCCTCTTTTCAGGGGATTTTACTGCCGCACAAGATCGCACTGTCGTCGAGTAGTGGTCATGTGTTGTCGTCGATAAATTTTTGTCGTCATCGGGAATCGAACTCGCGTCCTCCTCGGCCTGCCTTTGCAACTTAATCCTGTCCATAAACCAATCTGACCATGTTGCCAAATTTTCCAATCGTCTTTTCCTCCCCGCCAGCTGATTGCGTTAACCCTGCCTATAAGGGCTTCGGATCCTGAGGTCGCCCCTGGGCGCAGGGACCTCCCACATGCACAGTGTTCAAGGATTAGACCCGGTCGGCAGCAGCACGCTCGGGGATATCCTCCCGGTGCATGTCCTCGTGGTGAAGCGATTTCTCGACCGCAGCGGTAGATCGATGAGCCAGCTCCTCGGACTCGAACACTATGTGCGCAAATCATGTCAGTCTGAGGAACTCTTGTATATGAAGGTACTTGATACATCAAGTATCGGCCTGTACTTACGGAAAGCGAGCTCCTCCAGAGTGCGTCCTGAAGTCTCAGGCCAGAGCCAGAAGATGAGCACGGCTTCAACAGCGATCCAGCAGCAGTAGACCAGCAGATACTTCCATCCGATAGCGCCCAGACCTATGAAGCGTCGAGTCAGCCTTGATGCATAGATGTTGAGCGGACAGTCGACTGTGTGAAGGTATCACTTACCAACGGGGTTGACATTGGTGCCAAAGAACTGGGCCGCCTTGCCGAAGAATTGGAAGATGGCGATACCGCGAGCCCGCTGCGCATACGGAAAGATCTCGACAAGGTACGCTATTACCAGTCAGCAAGGTGACCATACACTTTCGACCACCATCCCAGGAGCTCCTACTGTAAGTCAAAGCGTTGAAGCACATGTTGTAAGCCGGGCTGTAGGCATAGATCCAGAAGAGCGACAACTTGGCAGCGGCTTCGGAATGGGTCGACACAAACCGCTCGGAGCAGATGGTCCACGCGACGTATACGGCGAGAATGGACAGAATGCCGGTGAGGTACATGTTACGACGCTTGAACCTCATGACCACGAGCGAGGCTCCGACACCACACACAAGACTCCAGCACTGGTTACCCAGGTTGTACTTGGCCTGGAAATCAGGGTCCTTGAAGCCGATGAGATCAAGAGAAGCGCCGAGATAGTATGAGAGAACTACGTTGCCGGAAAGCTGCGTGAACAACCCGAGCAGGCCGCCAATCAACACACGGCGACGCATGCCCGCCGAGCGTACCATGTCCATCCAGGACTGCTTCGAATGCTCGAGCTCGGTTGCAATGGTCGTTTTGATCTCGCTCATCTCGGCGGCAACGAACTCGGAGTGCTCGTCGCCCTCAGCGTGATACTGGACAAGAACCTTGAGCGCCTCGGCATGCTTATCCATGCTGACCAGGAACCGAGGGCTCTCAGGCAGGAAGAAGACAAAAGAGATCTGAAGGAGGGAAGGTGCCATCTGTAGGAGGGATGGAATCCTCCAAGACCAATTGTCATGGAGTCGCTGAGTGCCAAAGGTAATACCGGCCGCCACAATCGCGCCGATGAAGTAGCACGCATTGAACAGCGACGTTAAAATGGGCCGTTCTTTGGGGTAACCAAGTTCTCCGATGAGACAAGAGCCTGCAACGACGGCGTAGGGGAGTCCAAACCCGATGATACCACGGGCAATAATGTACATTGGCCCTGTGATCTGTGTCAGTTATCGGCGAGAGTTGTGAGGTATGGGCTTTTTACCGTTGATGGACAAGCCTTGAATCAGGGAACCAATGACCATGAGGACCGAGCCAAACATGATACACCATCTTCTTCCGTAACCGTCGTTGACGTAGGGAATGAAGGGCAGGCCGATGACGGAACCAAGAGGGAGCGACGAGGCTAGGATACCTTGATAGCCACCACTGGGATGACCAAAATCTTTGAAGAGAAGTCTTGTTAGTACTCGTTTTCCTATTGATCTCGCCCGCAGTGGCTGTTATCACTCACAATCCTTCCATGCCGGAACGATCTGCACAGCATTGATGATCTGTGAATCGAAGCCCGAGGTCCTGTCAAATGCTGTTTAGTACTATATGTGGACCTGAAGGCCTGGGTAATACACGTACATCTCTATACCAATGACACAGGGAAAGAGCAGAAAATACAAAGTTCTGAGATTCCGCTTCTTGTACCAGGGCAAGGGGTCCTCCATCGCCATGCGATGGAGCAGATTGTCCGAGCCATTGCCTCCGCCGACCATTGTGTCGTTGGATTCAGTGACCGATCACTGATATAATGTTTGAAAAGGAGTAAGTTGTGATGATCAGGGCTTTTCCTCCTACGTGAGAGAAGGACAGGCCAAGCAGACTGGGGAGGAGGGGATCACAGCATAGCAACAGGTGCGAGGAGCAGCAGTCTTTAGCAGAATTTATACGCAGCGGCACCCAAACAACCGGCTACTATCCAGAGAGTACGGAGGACTGCTTTGGCTCCGGGTCAGTAGCCGGCAGTGACTTTCTCACCATGACGGCTCCCCGCAATACACTAGAACGAATCGCGGTGCCTTATACCCCATACAAGGAGTGACTTTGACAATTTAACCGGACAGGCGCACCTTTAGAGAAGCTCCGCTGGCCGGTCGGCTTCAAGTGCTCTTTTCAGATCTTGACTTGTTCAGCAAACGTCCGCGATTGGAGGAGAATCGCGACGGGAGAACTGTCTCAAGTCAACGCTGCAAACTCGAAAGAGAACGATGGCTGGGAGATCCGGGAAATAGGGAGCAAGGCCGTGAAAGGCTCATGTCATCTCCAAGTACGCCTGCGACAAGGCACAATCCAGGATTAAAACACGACTCTTTGAGGAAGCGATGCAACGCTCCTTCAACAGCTAGAGGGCTCGTACATGCCCCCCACGGCAAAGCAAGAATACCACCCACAATACCGGCAGCCCACTCGCGACCAGGGAACCTTTCGGTACTGGACGTTACAAGGCAGAATGCGGCAGACTTTCCGCAGGTGGCAGCTGCATGGCGGTTTTAATAGAAGCCCTCTTTTAATTCCGAACCGGCTTGGCAACGTCTATGTGCTCGGCGTAATTCGTGCTCGATCTGCCTGAGCCAGCGACGAGTTGCATTCAGGCTCCCAAAGAGAATGCCCGACGGCGTCCCGGGAAGGTGACGAGGGAACAGGAGATATTCTCTCACGTCTACGCCTCGGAGTTGCAGCTTTTGATAGACGCAACGCTGATCGCTCCTTTGGAAGGGGATCTTGCGACGATTCTCAGGGTATTGCCAGGTCAACAAAGGAGGGCATTGATTACGGAGATCAACACTTCCAATTTAGCCGTCCGATCTCAAGTCGCTCAAGATGACAAGCGAGAAAGGGGGAGGCGAATGATAGGTAGGCAACACAAGATGCGGCTGTTTGGCAAAGCTTGTTCCACCAAGCAAGGTGTGAACAAGCTCGGCCAAGAAGAGGGCGGCATCGGGAATAGACGAAAGAAGGTCTGGTGCAGTCCACTCGTTCAGGTTGCATACAGATCAATGTAAGTGAAGTGAACGGGTGTTTTTATCCTACGGAGTAGGTAACTTCACCGTATCCGCCCCGGCTCTTCAGTACGTACCAGCCAAGACAGGCAAGTGCGAGGCAGGGTTTGTTGTGGGGCTCCCTTTCATATTTGCGGGGCAGGCGCCACCGCCAAAACGCCACTACAACCTTATCGTCTTATCGCCAGGCTTCTTCTTCCTTGACAGCGATGGAATCTGCGCAACCTCTCCGCCGAACTTGCGCATCGACAATATCCTCCCATCAACTCTCTTTCGGCGCTGCAAGACACAATACGAAGGAACTAGACAGCAGCCATGTCTGAACGCAAGGTCCTCGGGAAATACTACCCGCCAGACTTCGATCCGAGCGCCCTCGTTCGGAAGAGAGGCCCGAAGCAGACCGGCCCCAAGATCCAACCAGTGCGCCTCATGGCGCCGTTTAGCATGAAGTGCACGACGTGTGGAGAGTTCATCTACAAGGTAAGCGACATACAAAGCCCCCATCTACTCCAAAGGACACCTGGTAGAGCACGCCTGTTTGCTAACACGTATACTTCCCAATCCAGGGTCGCAAGTTCAACGCGAGGAAAGAAACACCCCCAGACTTTGTCTACCTGGGAGTCCAGAGGTTCCGCTTCTACATCAAGTGCACGAGATGTAGTGCAGAGGTGCGTAATGCTTCCACGCACCGCCCGTCCCTGCGGCCGGATGAGCCCAAGTCCGGTCTGCACTTGCGAGAGAGAGGAACAAAGCGATGCTAACAAGAAGCCGCGAGGGCAGATCATCTTCGCAACCGACCCGGCCAGCCAGGACTACGTCATGGTCCGCGGCGCCACGCGCAACCAGGAGGTCTGGCGCGCCAAGACGGCCGGCGACGCGGCCGGCGAGACGGACGAGCAGCGCCTCGACCGCCTCGAGCGCGAGGAGGCCGAGGCCGCCGAGGAGCAGGAGCGCAACGCCATGCAGGAGCTCGAGGCCGAGACGGTCGACGCCAAGCGCGAGATGGCCGTCGCCGACGCCCTCGACGAGATCCGCACCCGCAACGCCCGCATCGAGCGCGCCGTCGGCGCGGACGGCCTCGACGCCCTCGTGGGCAGGGGGCCCGCCGACGACGCCGACGACGAGAGGGCGCGCCAGGAGCGCGAGGACGAGGAGGCCGCGCGCAAGGCGTTTGCCTTTGCGAGGGCGCAGCAGGCGCTCGAGGAGCCGATGGATGTGAATGAGAATGACGGCGGTGCAAATGGTGCGGAGAGCAGTGGCAGCAGTAGTAGCTCGGCGCTGGCGCCCGCTCCGGCTGCGGTCAAGCCAGCGCCAGCAGCAGCCGTGCCGGCAAAGGAGCCTGCTGCGCCAAGCTTCAAGCGGCAGGTGAAGAAGAAGAAGGACCATGGGGCGCTGCTGGGCATCAAGAAGAAGCCTGCCCTGGTATGAGACGAGACAAGAATGATGTATACTATGTAACGACCCAAGATGATTTCCCTGCGGCGTTGAAAGGAATTGAATACCCGGCTGAGTACAATACATCGTGTGCGCTGTGTGCCAGGAGCAACTGGAGAATTCCCAATTCCTTTGCATAGTGACGACCCCTATTCGTCCTGTCGCTATCCACATAAAGCCGGATGGGACGTAAGCCGACAACCAGACAAGTTCCCGGAAAACAGGATTCACACTAGGCGGAGACAGGACAGTCCCAGGCCAAGGTTGAGAGCCTCCTGCATGGGAAACAGGTTCGGCTCATCTGACACCGCTCACTCAACAGGATTTTGCCACTATCATCTCATGCAGGTCATTGGAATCAGATATTTGGTAGTTTCATAACTCATGATGGCCAATATGATTATCCGCGTGTGTCTGCCATATCATATCAATTTCAACCATCCTGTTCCATGGGCTTGACAAAGCTGGCCCGCCGCCCTAACAATAAAGCCAAAATACCTGAACTCCCAAGGCATCGAACCCCTTTCGAGCCCCTTATGTATGTGCTGGAACTTAGGAAAATAGCTCTCCCCAAAATGGAAGAGGGCGAATGAGAACAAACTTGTACGCTGAAATAGAGGCGCTCATATGTTTTCCGGCCCGATCAATGTCGGGAGGTAAGTTTTCAAACAGCCCTGCCAGTGCAGAGCGAAGAGTGTGTTCGGCACCCAAGGTACAATGAGCCGCGCCACGGTAGTGATGTTGAGGATATCTCCATCCGGCTTCCTTCTACTCGAAGGGTGTAAAGAAAGTGTGACCGGAGATCGGGATGATTCATAAATAACGAGTCGTCGTGCCGCTATTGTTTCATCACGGCGACATAATCCTCATATGTAGAGCGGAGTGCGTTAGGTGATCAAATAGAAAACTCGCAGAGCAACATATTTAGAACGCTCTCAAAGCTGGCGGAGAAAGATAGGCAGATTCAACAGCCGACGAGGCCTTTGACGGTAGTGTAGCCGAATCAACTTTGGTAACTGTCCTCGGGTGGGCTTCCCGACACGCCGTTGGGCATGGCGGGCGTGCCAGTACTTGAACCGCGTCCCGATCTCCTGTGCGTGGAAGAGGCGCCCGAGATGGCATCCATCTGTCGCTTAGTGTGCTGGTGCATGGACCGAGCATACGTCGAGAGGTCGGTCGGCGGCGGGGGGGAGACGGGGATGTGAACAGAGTAGGCTCCTTGTTGTGGCGACATCTTCATTTGCTTGATGTGGTGTTGTTGGTGATGAAAGTTGTCTGCTTTCTCAACGTATCGTAGAATGGTTGGTGTGTGGAAGTGTCAAGTCCGGATTGTGTACGGGCGAGACTGGGGCTTTCAAGTGTTATGGTGCCAAAAAGAGATCGGTCTGTCGAAAGTCTTGATGAGCTGGAAGTAGATGTATTGCTTTTGGTTCGATACACGAAGTCTGGGGCTCCTCAAGTGGGTTGAATGGTGGGTGATATGGTGGATGTGGGTGGTGTTGTGTGTGGGACAGGTGCAGTGAAGATCAGAAGAGGGAAACAAAACCCAAAACGCTGCCGGGAGGATGTGTATCTTTATAAACGGAAAGAAGAGGGGCACAAGAGAGGCCAGAGAGGAGGACCCCCAGAGCCTTGTACGTCAATACGGTAGACAGGGCGGGTAGGGGACCAGCACTAAGAAGCGAGACGGGTCCCTCCCAGGTGCCTTTCTGTCTTGTCTTGTTGGGAAAGTGTGGGCTTGGCCTGCATGGGGCCGGGAAGGGCAGACTTGACGGATAATGAAAGGGTCCTGTCTAGACCCGAAGAAAAGATGGGGGGATGATGTTAGTGCCAGCATGCCCGCCTCGACTTTGGGTGAGAGGCGCATGGGATCGGCAAGCCTAACGAGAGTCTGAGGTGGTATGGTGTTGGACGAAGGGGGGGTGAGATGTGCGATATGGCGTAGGACAGGCTCCAATGACACGAGCTTTGACGCAAAGCGTCGACGAGGAAGTCGTCTTTGCCACGGGCTGGTGTGAGGCTAGCAAATGATGAGGCTGCTGGTCCCCTTCTCCTAGTCTCTCTCTTTCATCTCTCTTGACTGACTTACCTCGTCCGTATGACTCTGTCCAAATCGAACCGGACCCGGGATGACGAAGGGGGACGATATCATCGCGTGGAGAGACATCCCGGAACCAGACCAGAGGACGAAGTGAGTGCGTATGGCGACAGGGGGGGACCCTCCATGGCGAGCCAAGAGTAGTTGCAGCAACGACGGGGGGTGGCGGCGAAAGGGGCAAGGATGTCGAGCAAGATGTGTCGGAACTGGAGGACGGGCGTTGAGATGGAGACGCTTGTGGATCCCACGCTACCGTCTCGGTAGGCAGGAGACCCTGCTGATCAGTGACGGGACTGAAGTCATTGCCTATGTCATGCTATTGGCCACTCGACACCTTCCTCTCGACGACCCGTGGGACCCTTGGTCGCGAGAATCTTCGCCTCTCTGCATGACGGGGTGTCTCGGTAGTGACGAGCTTTGCGGCAAAAGCTTCATCGTCTGTCTCCATTGATGTTTGGATTCATTCCTCCCCGCAGCTCTCCTTCCCTTTCTTGGCGATGATGAACCGAACCGTACCCACGGGAAGAATGGAAATCTTCTCTTTTCCCATTCCGAGGCCCTCCAGAAGCCGGCAACGAGTACACACTGTGAGGGCCATTTTCCAATCTGCTAGCATCATGACACTCGGTACCGCAGACGGATCTGGTGTATGTTCTTACACCGGCGGTACCTCCATCCGCGCCGGCCTACCCCTCCCAGTGCCCTCCCTCCCTCCCACCAAAAGGACCCTGGCCCTTGTGAAAATGCGCCGTGACCAGGACAACGAACGTTAGCTGTCGAGGTCCCAAGCCGTGATCGACAGGCCTGGTCGTGTCTGGTCTCGCAGCTAACGCGAGGCAGGCATGATGTCATTGGCTGGCCCAGGGCGGCCGACCAATCATCGCCCGCCGCCGCCCGTCTTAGTTTCAAGGGTCCTCCTTCTCCAAGGAACCAAACCGAACCGAGAAGCGACATCCAAGGTCCGTAAATTACAGGGTGGGTTCGGGTGCTGCAGCAGGAACCGGATCACTCCAAATGAATTGCGCCGCGCCGCGCGCCGTCCTGGGATCTGCTGTCCACGTACTTGTAGTGAGACGGTCAGCTTCCTTTGATTTCCCCATTTGCTCATCCTGCTCATTCTCGTCTGCAGACTCCCACACCCACATTGCCACGGTGCCTAAGAAGTCCGATGGGCATGGTGGGTAGCTTCTTGACAAAACTCCAGGTCGGCTTTATGCCCTTGTCTTGCAATACCCCCCCGGATGACAGATCTCAAAGTCTAGACCCTCCAGAGCTAGGTGTAGGGTGTGTGGGTGCGTCGCTGTATGCGTAATCCTGTCATTCAGTGTCATAATCCCCCTGCGTTTCTATGCATGAGCCTTCAGTTTCGCTCGAGGACCAGCCATCAAACTTTTGGCGCCATCACGGCACGTTTCACTGGTATGCTTAAGCCTCCCGCGGCGTTAACAATGACATGTGTAGAAACGTTCCGTAAACTAATGGCCGAGTCGCTTGAGTCAATCTCCTCGGAATCTTTCTGGATCTTCCCACAAATGAGGTCAGTCAGGACGGCAATCCGCACGAATCAAAAGCCGTGATACCAAACCAGCAAAGACAACGGGGACTGTGTACTTTGGTATGATGCTAGGATCAGCGTTTGTGAAGCTGCTCCGTCGCCAAAAACGGGTTGGGACGACCATTTGCTCATCAAAACGGAACCGTAGGGTAGGGGACGAGATCCGTCATACGCACCCAGATCTACTGGAGAAATGACGCTGCATCAGCTCGTCGTCAAGGCTCACCGTTACCTGACGGAGACAGCTACAATGTCATACAGTGTCGACACCTACGTACCGGTAGGTCAGCTACAGCAAAAAACGGAGAGGGTGTGCGAAACGCACAGGAGGGTGCACAGGCAAAATGGTAGATAACACATGAAGATGCGAGGAATGACGGTCCACTGACATGGCCCGAGAACGGTGAGGAAACTTTTAGGGGTCCATTGATGACGGCAGGGCTGAGAAGCTGCAATTTGCCGGGGGCGCACAGGGCGAAGGTGGTACGGGGTGGGAGCAAGCGCGTCATACGGTGGGCTTAGATTTCAGCGAGCGTTTCTGACTAGCGAGATCGCAGTTAGCCGCCTCTGCCCGATGACATCAGATCTGCAGGGTGTGACCAATGATTTTGCCCCAATGGCCACTGGCCAAGCCTCTCTGGGGCCCGCCCGGGAACGGCACCCTCGCAGCACAACCACCAGCCTCCCCAGTCAGCGTTTTCGTTTTTCTCACACGCATCGAAAACGGAAGAGGCTGTGACGTTTGTGCGTGTATATCAACCACCACTCACATTACTCGGTACTGGGATAACTCTAACCTCGCACCTTTGTCAGTCCACCCCTAAGGGAGGGTTGTGTGAGGCGACCAGAGTCACCTCTAGGCGTGCATTCAGAAGCTTGTGTGTCAGCCTTGACGTCTATGCCTCCATCTCCTTTGCCACGGGCGGTCCCCAATCATCTTTCCCCACGAGAAGGTTGCGGGAGGCATTGCTTAGTGTCATGCATACCTTGAGTCTGGACCCTTCAAATGTCTCTTTTTCCCTCCTATGAGAGGCTCGCGAATCTTCTGTCGCATGTCGATATCGTACCGTCGATCACACGTGATGACGAAATGCTCTCAGTCATCAACTCTGACCAAGAGCAAAAACCACCGGGCGTGATGACATCTCGAATCGAACCCTGCCTAGACAAGTGTCATGTATGGTCTCCTCTAGACCATGACACCGCCGTCCTAGAATAGAGTTTTCGCTTCTTCGAGATCACCCCCAACGTCATTTCTAGAGGCTAGGTATTCGCTCGCATTTCCTAAATGGATCTGTGATGTGCTCGATAGGCGCCAAGGCTGGAATCCAACTCTCGGCCGGCTCAAGAAGACCACGGGTCTGACGATGGTGACAAAATTGCCTCTTTCATCGGATTTGGTTGTCCACGAAGCTCCCGTTGTGTCGTGTCTCGGTGCTTAATCTGCGCCACCTGGCGTCAGAGAACGAGCCCAAAAGCCCCTTGCCTTACGTAGCTTGCCCTCTCCTCCCCCGAGAAGTACTGCCATTCCAATATCAATGCTGATCCTATTTCGCCTCGTGTACGATCGTAATTATAATTCCTAAGTTGGGAGAGGGCGGCAGACGGCTTGGCGCTTGCAATGCCAGCTGCCTAGCCAGGTGGGTTCTGTGATGTCAAGAAAGCTGAACACGATGTCGGCTTCCGCCTTCCATTATTGAGGATGGTACGCAGATTCAACCCGCACGCTGATCGCGCATGCCCGTCTCCAGCATCTCGGCTAGCATGTCCCATTTCCCAGCAGCGGCACCACTGCTCGCCCGGGCCACGCCTTTCAGCCCGCCGATGATGAATCGAAGATACCTGTCAAAATCGGCGCCGATGCTCTGCAGGAGATCGAGATAGGTGTCGCCCTGCTCCACGGCCAGCTCCGTGTCCTCCGCGTCTATGAATGTCATTTCTGCTTCTGCCTGCTCCGCCTCACTGACGTAGACACCTCTCCTGGGCTGCCTCAGTGGGTCATGACGCTGGGGTGAGGACATGAGCGACAGCCGCGAGGTCTCGTTCATGCTGGCTAGTAGCCGGGCCGCCTCCCCTCGGCGGCCGTCCTCTAGCTTGACAGCAAGATCGAAGAGATCTAAAATGCACTCCCGAATGGGCTCCAGTTTTGCCCCCAGGCATGCCTCCTCGATCAGACGCTTGCAGAACGTGCCATGCGCTCTGATCATCGCATCCACATCATCGGCAGTTCGTAGATCATCCTGCATGGCCGAGATGCTTGGGGCCAGCACGAGCGACGTCAGATATGTGTGGAAGGTGGTGCAGAACCACAATAACCTGCTACGGAGGGTGTAGTAGAGTGGTGCCTCATCGGTGCGTGCTACGTCAGACAACTCATTCAAGATGCGGTTCCGGTTCAGGGCGTAGACCGCTCGCCGGACTTGCAGGAGGAGTGTGAATAGCGCGTCGTATGCCGTGAGGCTCTCTCCCGAGATGACGAGCTGGACCGGCCATGACAGCCGATACCTAAGCTTGATCTTCGAGAGGCCGATTCTGACCGACTGACGAGCGGCTACATCATCGGGCTCACTGCCGATCTCTACGACCGCCGAGACTAGAGTCTGGTCGAGCCTAGTGCCGAACGCCTCTCGTGCGAACTCGGCCAGGGTGAAGCGATCACGCCAACTCGGGTTCAAGTTGTCTAGGTACTCAAAGATGGGGAAGGTAAAGGCGTCGGCACAAGATCCATCCGCCATCAGGTGAAGATGCTGCAATGCGTCCAACGATGTCCATAGACCACATGAGTCAAACAGGATCCTCTGAAGAGTAGCCGATGCCGTGTGATGTCTACTTTTCATCCATATGTCAAAGGCATTGTTGAACAGCTCGGAAAAGGGGGCCAACTCCGAACCACGGGGGCAAACGGCGGCAAACGTTAGGGGTGGTTCCGCGACGTCCCACGAGTTATCCCTGCGCTGGTATTTCCCCAGTCGCTTCAGCACCACGATGCTTTTGCCGGTAGTGAATATCCTGGACACGGCGGGCCGAAGGAAGTTCGGGGCATGTAACACGCCCTGCTTGGTCCGTCGTAGTTTGTATTTACGTTCCCATATTTTGTTGGGCGGAACCTCTGCTGCTGAGGCTGACACAAAGAAGCTCTTGTCTCCTGGAATTAGGTCGCCCTCAGCCATCCACTTCCGAATCGGTCGAAGATAAAGATCGAAGCATTGAAAGAACATGTCACCGAGATACCGGTGGACATTGTCATCTCCCTCTAGCTGCGCAGTGCATACAGCGTCAAAAAGGAGTTCGAGATATCGGAACGCATATGCATACTGCTCTGCTGTGAGCTTCTGCACAATCCGGGACAGAGCATACATGGGTTTGATCGCAGGCTTCAACTCTTCCATGACAGCAATGACGCTGACTGGAGTGTCTTGCTTGATATCAATGAACCGTGCTTGTATGGTGGATACATGTCGGTCGAATGACAGCAACCTTTGACGGATGCTGTCACGGAAGACCTGCTGCAGGGGCGTGGTATCTCCGCTTGTGGCTAGGAAACGTCGCAATGTAAATATTTGGTAGCCGCTCTCGGAGATCGAGTCCAGAAGCGCGCTGAAAGTGTGCCAGGACGTGCTGGACATTTGATACTTGACTGCCGGCTCACATTGAGCATTGAACAAGTTGTTCTTCAAGCCCTGGAGCATGAATAACGCCTCTCGTAAAACTTGAAACTCGGTGATTGAGAGCTTTAGAGGTCGGCCATTTGGATCTTTTGTGGTCTCTTCGTATCTCCACGCTTGTGACTGGTGCACCGGTTCAAGAATGGCCGTATCCGGGTCGGGAAGCAAAAGATCCTGGGCACTCCTCTCGTGTCGTGCGTCGTGGCTAGATAGGGATGTGTCATCAGACTCCGAGCTCTCTGACTGTGCATCTCCGTATTCCTCATCATCCGAAGTCTCGGCGTAGTTGATTGTCTTCCAGAGGGCTCTATCTGCGCCCCAGCCATCCTCTTCGGCGATCTCGTCCCACCTCAGAGTGAGCTCCGGGGCCTGATCGCAGGGACGAAGAAGTTCAAGATCCTCAAGTCTCGACTTCTTGACGGGTTGGTCTGAGAGCTCCAACAGCAGCTGCAGGATTTCGGGCGTCCACCTTGTGGACTTCGCCTGAAGAGCACGGCGTCTTTCTCCAAGAGCCGTTGCCAGGCCATCCCGGCCTGCTACGCTAAACCGCTCCTCAAAGCCGTCAAGATACTCTTCGACCTCAAACTGGTTCGTCCGAGGGAAGGTATTCTGGCGAAGAACCCTGATCACGGCATCACGAGATATCTGGACGCCGTCATGGTCACCCTGGTACGAAGAGTTAGCCAAAGTGGGGTCCGTGTCTTCGTGCTCAGAAGGGAACGAGAAGCAAGCAATGTACCTGTCCAGAGGCCGCACTGACAGCAGCGATCAGCTCGTCTACCTGAGCGCCGAGTTTTGCAAGATATGCCATATCTTGGGCATGGCGCAACACTCCTTGGCTCCTTGGCTCTCCGATCCGTTATGGCTGTTGTTTATATTTGTTGCTCGTATTGGTCTTTTGGGCGGGTTTGGTTGATACGCGTGATGCACCGGCCCAAGCGCGCCTCCACTATCGAAGAGGCATCGGGGGGGTTCGGTACCATGTACCACCGCCAGAGCCGACCCACAAATGCGCTGTGTGGCAGTCTTTTAGCGCTAATTCCAGAACACCCTTTCGCTGTAAGCCTGGGCGGTTTGGGGCACAAGCTGGGAGTTCCAGGGCGGTCAAGTACCTTCCTCAGGCCACCTTGTTAGCGCGAGCCTCACCACGTAGCGGCCAATAACTCTAAATACATGGCATCAGCCCCTTTTTGGCTGCATCCTGCAAGCGTCCGCATCTGGGGACACTTGAAATTTCCAACGGCCGGGAAGGATCGACAAGGGGGGTCACCTAAATTTCGAGTGGTGATACACAGAAGGCCGCGTTGCAACCGCATCAGCATCAGCATCCGCATCAATCCGCACCCGCATCCAGCCCAGTCTTCTCCAACCTCGACCGGCCACCGCTTTATCCTGCACCGCTCAATCCCGCCTGAGGCTTGCCTTGAACCTCCCCCACCGAGACATCACCACAAGTCTGTCGCCCGCTGCCGACTTCTGGACTCGATGCGCCGATAAGCGCCCGCGCACTTCCCTTTTCGCCCGTTTCCCTGCGACACCACGCATCCTCATTTTCCATACCCATACTCCCCATCACAGCCATGGCCATCGCTCGGCCCGTCCGGGTGCTGACGCTCGCAGCCGTCGTGCTGTGGTGCGTCTTCCTCTGGCAGATCTTCAAGCCTTCAGTGCCCGTAACCAAACCCGGTGCCGGCCTCGAGTCGAGCGAGAGGGATCCCAATCTTGACCGTACGTGTGTTATGGGAGCACTGGTTCACCCCATAGCTTCTCCCCTAGATCTTCGAGCTCCTGGCTAACATCCTTGCGTCTGGAAACAATAGCTACGGGTGAGCCGGAAGGCATACTGCGTTATGCAGGCGATGGGTATAAGCCCGGAATCGAGAACTCGGACCGCATCAACGCCACCATACTGTCGCTAGTGAGGAACGAGGAGCTCGATGGCATTCTACAGGCGATGAAGGATCTGGAGCGCACATGGAATCACAAGTTCAACTACCCTTGGACCTTCTTCAACGATGTCCCCTTCACCGAGGAGTTCAAGAAGAAGACGAGCGAGGTCACCAAGGCCGAATGCAGATACGGTGCGCGCCACACCTGCCCATAGTTTCTGATCTGTGCCAAGAGCAAAAGCTGACATATATCCCCACAGAGTTGATTCCGAAGGAGCACTGGGAGGTACCCTCGTGGATCAACATGGACCTCTTCAAAGAATCGGTCCAGATTCTCAAGGAAAACGACATCCAATATGCCGACAAGGTCTCCTACCACCAGATGTGCAGGTGGAACAGCGGTCTGTTTTACAAGCACCCTGCGTTGAAGGACGTTCAGTACTACTGGCGAGTCGAGCCCAACGTCCACTTCTTCTGCGATGTCGACTACGATGTGTTCCGCTACATGCAGGACAACAACAAGACGTACGGTTTCACCATCAACCTCTACGACGCCCCGAAATCGATTCCGACCCTGTGGCCCGAGACGGTCAAGTTCCTGGCCGCCCATCCCGAGTATCTTCACGACAACAACGCCCAGAACTGGGTTACCGACAGGATACGACGACCCAACCACAATCAGCTGGCCAATGGGTACTCGACCTGCCACTTCTGGAGCAACTTTGAAGTTGGCGACATGGGCTTCTGGCGAAGCCAAGCATACGAGGACTACTTCCAGCACCTGGACCGCGCGGGCGGTTTCTTCTATGAAAGATGGGGCGATGCTCCCGTCCATAGCATTGCTCTTGGTCTGTTTGAGGACAAGAGCAGGATTCACTGGTGAGTCTTGGTTTGCTTGCCCAGCGAAGCATCTTGTACTTTGACAACTAACACAAGTCCCGTGCTCAGGTTCCGAGATATCGGCTACCAGCACATCCCCTTCTTCAACTGCCCCAACTCAGGGAAGTGCAAGGGCTGTGTGACAGGCCGCTTTACCGACGGCGAGGCCTGGCTCAATAAGGAAGACTGCAGGCCCAACTGGTTCAAGTACGTCGGCATGGGCTAGACGTGCTTGGAGTGGCCTGCACACTTGCGCCTGTGACGACGTTTTCTTTTTCCCACCTTGCGGATTCACGATATCCCCCCCGCTTGTTCTTGTAATCATAGTTGGCTTTTTTTTGAGTGGATAACATGCGAAGCATTTGTTCGTTCTTTCTGGCGGAAAGATGGACGAGGTGTTGGGGCGTATGGCATCTGGCGAAATGCTTTTTTCTGCCATCTTTAGACTAATGACCATTGCTATTAGACAAAAAAGCTGCCGAGCTACGTCTCGGGTAGCCATCTGATGCTGGGCTTGTGAAATGTGTGATATGCTTCCGACCTGTCTCTGTGTATGAGCCGAATAGCCTTGGAACACCTGCCTGCCACACACAGACCTTGTATAATTTCGGCTGAGTAAGAGCCCTCCTCGGCATGGGTTCGTGTAAAGTAGATCTACATGCTGAGAGCAATAGTTGAAACGGTCAGTCAGAGCCATAGACCGTGACCACCCCCGACGACCCGCCGACGCAAAACTGGTCCCCCCATCCGCGCTCCCTCCAGGCAAGGCAGCTGATGACGTTTCTGCGCTCCTTCTCCCTGCCGTCCCTGCCCACGACCCTCTTGCGCGCCGCCTCGCTGCCCGCCGGGCCCCAGGGGACCGAGATCCTGGCCACGAGCTTGCCCGACAGCACGTCCCACGCCCACACCCTGCCGGCCCCGGTCCCGTCTTCCCCCTTCTCGTCGCCGGCCACGACCCAGCGCTCCCCGCCGCCAAACACGCTCTGCACGCGGAGCTCCTCGTTGCGCCACGTCTCGTGATCGTCGCCGCCGTTCCCGCCGCCGTAGGCCTTGAGGCACGCCCCGCTCTCGCGGTCCATGAGCCGCACCCGGCTGTCGAGCGAGCCGACGAGCACCGACTTGCCGTCGCGCGCGAGGCCCAGGCTCGTCACGCTCGCGCCCACGACGTCGGTCGTCACCCGCCCCGCGCGGACGTCGTACGCGCGCACGCGCCCGTCGACGCTGCCGGCCAGGACCTCGGCGCCCCGGACGGCGAGGCAGCTGACGCTGTCGCGCGCCTCGGGCAGCGTCTGCACGGGCTTGGCGCCGCCGCCGCCGGCGCGGCAGTCCCAGAGGCGCACCGTCGTGTCGAAGCCGCCGCTCGCGAGCAGCGCGTCGCCCTCGCCGGCGAAGGCGACGCAGTTGACCCGCCCCGCGTGGGACTGGGGCCCGCCGCCGAAGCGCCGGATCGTGGTGGCGGTCGCGACGTCCCAGAGGAAGACGAGGCGGTCGCCGCCCGCCGAGGCGAAGCGCGCGTTGTCGCCGGCCACGTCGATGGAGAGCACCTCGTAGCCGTGGGCGGCGTAGGTCTGGATGAGGCGGCCCTCTGGCACGGCAGCCGCCGCCGCCGGTGTGCCGCCGAGTTTGTTACTGATGTTGTTGTTGCTGCTGTTGTTTGCTGCGGGGTGTACAGCCGTGGTGGGCTGGGGGTTGTAGAGCCGGATGGAGCGGTCGGCGGAGCCGGCGAGGATGTAGGTCCCCGGCGAGGCCGAGTATGCGACTGCGTGGATGGCTCCGTTGGCGCCCAGCAGCTGCGCCACGGGCTTGTCAGGGAAAGCCATTCTTTCTCTGGTTCGTCGACTCGTGCACTTCCATTGTCATGTGCGGCCTCAGGAGAGGTACATGCATGGGATGGCTTGGAGCCTCACAGGTTCCAAATGGCAGGTCGTGACTTGAGAGTGAACGATCTGTCGATATGCAAGTGCGAGCTCAGTTTTGGGGGGACGTTAAAAAGAAGCTTGAGACAGTGGACCAATCACTCGCGGAATCTACACTCTGAAGACGCTAGCAGAAAACGGTCACTCCGCACCAAATGCTACCGTCACACAGTCACACCGACAAAGCACACCGTATTATCAACGTCCAACCATGGTCATGAAACCGACTTTGTTTACTTAATTGCAATCAGATATCGAGGACTACCGCAAATTTCTCCCTCCCGGTCATCACAACACAGTGAGGATCACACGTCGCGGGCACGATCACACATTACAAAATAGATTCAAGATGAGTAAGCGTTTTGCGCAAGAGACAGAGATGAATGATGATGCTTGAACACCAGCTTCTCCCTTCGCTTCGTCCATTTTAATTCTTGGGGCCCTGTCGGCCGAAGAGTGTGAGGAGAAACGAAAAACGGTGCTCTGACCACCACCGGCCACTGCGCCGTCTAAAAGCAATATACAGGGTATTTGATAGTAATAACACAGTGAAGGCCAGTGCCTCCCTTCTCCTCTTCTCCATCTTCTTCCAATCCCGCCGACCTGCCTTCGTCAAGAAAAGAAAGGCCTCTCGCCAGGGCTCATGAAGTAAAAGGGAGAAAAGCGGAGGGAAATGATTCGTATGTCTCTCCCTCTCCTCCTTTACAAGGAGAAAGATGTTTCCATCTTTGTGTGTCTTTTATCTCTGTCAGACATACCCCAAAATCGCTCGAAGAAAACCAACAGAAGAAAGCCGATGCCACCCAGTATGACATGAAAACAGCAACCAGATGATCAGTGACAGAAAGTCCAACGCCGAAAAAGATGCAAGAGGTAGAGATGGTCATGAGGAAACAATGAATAGGAAGGGGGAAAAAAAAAAAGAGAAAATTGACGAAATCCACCTCAAGCATACGGCCCGACGCCCGTATAAACACAGTCCATCTCACGCGGGAACCGCCCCTCGATCGGCTCCAGCACCTGCCACCGCCATCCTGGCGCGACGCCGCGCCCACCGCCGTCCTTCTCCTGGTACACGCGCACGCCGTGCACGGCACCGGGGCCCGCTCCCGGTGCGGAAGCGAACCCGGGCTCCAGGTGCTGCTCCAGCGCCCGCGCCAGGCGATCCGCGCGCTCCCGTAGGGCCGCGGCGAAGACGCCCGCCTCGCCGCCCCAGACACCCGCCACCGCGTCCGCGCCCGCCTGCGCCGGGACCAGACTGTCCAGCAGCTGCGGCAGGTCCGCCATCGCACCCTCGGCAGAACACACGTCCGCCGCCTCGAGAAGCGCCGCGGCCGCAAACGGAGGGGCGGGAGTGGTGTTCGAACCGGCGTTGCTGCACCACAGGTCGAGCAGCTTGTGCGCGTGCGTGCACGCGGCCCGGCTGTACTGCGCCCGCGACGCGGCCGACGTCAGGAAGCGTGCGTGCACGTGCCGGTGCAGCTTGATGACCGTCATGTGGTAGGCAAGATGCATCGCGACGAAGCAGCCCCGGTCCTCGGCCGCCAGCCCCGCCCCAGCCGCCGCCGAGTACACAAGCCGCGCGGGCAGCGACGAGTTCCAGTCCTCGAGTCGCGAGATGATGAGGTGGTGGAACTTGATAAAGTCAAAGTCCGAGTAGGTGCCGGCCCGGTTCGCCACGCGGTGTGCGCAGGCCATGACGTCGCCCCATATAGCCGCGATCTGCACCAGGTACCCCATGACGCCGACGGGCGCCCCGCTGCCCTGCCGCTGCTGCACGGCCGAGAAATTAGGCTCAAAGGGCGGCGTCGCGGCCTCGGCCTGCTCCTCAAACGAGCTGGTGTCGCACGGCAGCCGCAGGAAGATGTCCTCGGTATTGATGATGCTAGGCCGCACGGGAAAGGCGCCACCAAGCCTCTCCAGGAGAAAGCACGCCCAGAAGGTCCGCCTCCGGCACTCGGCGTAGCCGTGCCTGTTGAGACCGTAGGGAAAGCTGTCCATACTGGCGTCGGGTGACTTCTCAAACTCGACGTTGAGCTGCAGGCTCGAGGCCGCCGAGATGGCTCCGCTGAGCATGTCGTCCGCCGCGCCGGTGTACGACGTCGAGGAATAGTACAGCGAGAGCACGAGGCGAGCCTGCACGAGCTGTATCGACAACTTGGCCCGGTCCATCGCGTAGCGCGCGACCTGAGCGTACTCGTAAGCGATGCTACTCTGCTCACCCGCAGTGGTCGTCGCGGAACCAGCACCGGCTTCGGCGTTGCCCGCCGAAAGAGCCACGCCGAGGGCGAGGATGCTATAGACGAGCATCGTGTCTTCTGATGATTTCCTGTTGTGAGCTGCTGCGCTAGTCTGTAGCCAGGACTTGAAGGCCCGGTCGGGGAGGAAGCGCAGGGCCGCGCTGTCCATGTGGACGAAGAAGGAGGCTACGGTGGTGCTGACGGACTGAGGGTCGGAAACGTACGGATCTGTATGCCATGCCCGCGCCAGCACATCCTCGTGCAGCCGTGGCAGTTCGGGCCTTGGTGGCGGCTGCTGGTAGTGATGCTGCTGCTGCTGCTGCTGCCACGGCAGGGGCAAGCCTCCGGTCCTCGGCAGCTCCGAGGGGTGCCCCAACGATGGCCGCTGCGCTCCTACCTCTCCTGCTCCTCCCAGTGGCGGCGGGAACTGCTCGTACCCGATGCGCATCCGCTTTGGCGGTCCGCCTAGGTTCTCCGGGCTGGCCGGTCGTAACGTCGTCCGGGGTGACACCGATGCACTCGAAGTGCTGCCTGGTCTTGGGGAGCCAGGCGGCGGCCTCATGAAGGACCCCATCCGTCGCGACGACTCGGCCTCGGCCGGCGGTGTCGAGGGGGAAATGTTGTGAGTACCACGGGGACTGCACCATTCCCAACGAGATCGTCAGTCAACTCGCCCAGTTGAAGCTCAATTTCCTCCCGTTCGGAGGTTGGTGGGGGTTGAGGGGAATAACAACAAGACTTACGCATTCTTAAATTTGCAGATCCTTCCGAACTTCTCGCACTGAACGCACCGCGGGTAGTCGGGGTCGCACTTGATCTTCTTCTCCCGGCAGGTGATGCAGGCGATCGCCAGCCGCTTCCTCGGCTTGCCCGCCTTGGTGACGCCCCAGTGCGCATTGACCGGCTCGCCGTCGATGACCGTCTTACAGTGGCTGCCGTCGTCGTAAAAGTAGCACAGCCCTTCGCCAGGCACCTCGGCCGCGCGCACGAAGCGCGGGAGGAATTGGCTCCCCGTCCAGATCTTGGGTCCCAGCCCGTCCTTCGCGGGGATACCCTCCGAAGCCGCCGTGCTCGTCGGTGTCGGCGGTAGAGTTCCCGATACGTGGTGCGGCCGCGGGTGGCTCGAGTACATTCCCCCATCCTGCTCGGGCTTCGGCGCATGCATATGTGGTGAATACCTATCTGGGGGAGGACGGAAAGAGCCAGACGGCTCCCTGCTGCCCAGCGAGTACTCGTTCGGGGTGGACCACTGGCTGCCTGGCCGGTAATCGGACTGCGGCTCCGGTCTATGGTAGTCGGGTTCCCGGCCACGGGGTGAAAGCGGTCCAGGAAAAGGGGTCCGGGAGAGGCTGGGGAAAGTGCCCCTTTCGTCGAATCTGGGGGCATCAAAGGCCGTTGTCCTGGGCTGTGAGGATGATGAAGATGCTGCTGAAGGTGGAAAGTAGGATGACGAAGAGAAGGATCGCTCCGGCGCAGCGCCGCCTTGGGGTCGGTCCAGAGGAGAGCTCGTAGAATAAGCCGCGGGCCGTTCAGACAAAGGCGAGTGAAGCGGCCGGGGGGCCCCGAGCTGGCCCAGCAAGCTGCTTAATGAGGGGAGCTGCTGTCGAGGAGCAGCCTGGCTGCTTTCTCGGCGGCCTTGAGCCTCGTCCGTGCTGGGGGCGGACGACATGCTCGGGTTAGTTGGCTGATCATAGCTGGACATGGGAGGAGATATGGGAGCAGCCAGGCGCCAGGTCTTGTCCTCGGACGGCCTGGACGAGCTGGAGGGCGAGGTCCCTGAGCCTGTTAGCTCAGGTGGGGTTTCTGGGAGGACCAAACGACGATGAGGTTCGAAGCTGGATAGTATCCCCATTGAGATCGATGCTGCTCAAGTCCGGGAGAGACGCTTAACATATCCTGAGGGGTTGTGTGGGTGTTTGGAGAGGATCGAATGCCCAAAGAGGTTGGTCGTTCTCTACTTTGCTCTCTCTTGTTTTCAAGACATGCACATACACACTCCTTTGTCTCTTTCTATCCCTTCGCACGCGGAAAAGTCCCAGGAGCCTGGGCCTTTTTCGTCCTAAGGAGAATGACACGGGAGAGAGCAGGGACTCGCTCGCCTGGTTATCCGCCGGGTAAAGGTAGTCCAGCGGCGCAGCTAACAAGCACACACAACGAGAATGGTGAGGCAGGCTTGCTACCACACTTTCTTTTTTTCTTTGCTTTCTCCTCTGACCGGGTTCGCCAAGGCCCAGAGAAGATGATTCGAAGAAAGGAGTCGAGAATTCCGGATAATTGATCCAGGGCTGTCAGTCGGCGCAAGCAAGGTCTGGCGGCCGAGCGGGAACGTCGTCGAGGGTTCCCGTCTGCGGGTTATGCGCACCACATTGGAGGGGATGCCAACGTGCGCGTGTGTGCGTGTGCGTTTGCGTCTAAGTGTGCGTGCGTCTGTGTGTGTGTGCGCGCGCGAGAGAGAGAGAGTTGTTTGGTCTGGCGAGAAGGAAGATGGTAAGATGTAAGAAAGAGGTGTGGCTGAGTGTGACGGAGACGGGCGGGAGGGAAGGAAGGGCACAATTGGATATTGTATATCCACAAGGAGAAGGAGCATATACCGACAGTCCTTCTCGGCCGGCGTCTAGGCACTACGGTTCCGACATACACCGAGAGTGTATATCTGAAAAAAAGGGAGACTACGCTAAAAAGGCATGTTGGAGATGATTAAGAGATGGGCAAACTGGATCTCTGGAGGGCCGGGGGGTGTCGTGGGAAACGGAAGGGCTGCCGATGTAAGTCGACTCCACGGTGCAACCAACAACAAAAAAAAAGATACCGATACACAGGCAGAAGCTCGAAGGGGCTTGGCGAGCAAACCCCTACAGGAAAGTAACTACCTAGGAACGGCGCAGCAGCACCAGCAGCGTTGCTTGGGAGTCGGGACAGGGCTCGCCCACATACACGGCTCTATTTCCCTGGTCCAGGTGTCACTCCACAATGCAGAGAGGTGCCGGGGGTGGGACGATGAGGTTGCGTCCCAAGAACCCAACATGAGCGATCTTCTCGGCAGCACGGCATGGCTTGTCGTCCCTTTCGGGGAGTAGTGGCTGTACTTAGCGACTGGTGGTCTCGAGTGAGGCACGGCTGTGGAGGGGACTAAAAGCACTAGACTTGGACCCGGTGGCGCCCCATGCTCTGTAGGAATTCTAGCTTCCCAGGCTCGGCCGGCTGTTATGGAGGAAATCGTTTACGGATTACGGAGTATGTAGGTACATGTGTGGAGAAGGCGTGTGTCTTGACAAGCGGCTCCAATGCCCAATGCATCGTTTCCCTCCGTCTGGAGGACAAACAGGGAGACAGGCTTGGCCTACGGAGCAGCTAACTTGCTTGGGGCGTGTTGGCAGCATGCCTCGCCCCAGGGCTCGGAAGTCAAAAAATGCATGATACCTGCCTAGGAATGCTCACTGGTCGGGAGCCAGGGGTCTGCGTATCGGTGAGATCATCCAGGGTTCAGGTTGGGGGGAAGGACGGGAGTGCTTTCGAGAAAAAGAGACCAAGATTCCCACATGGGCTTGGTTTTGGATGGTACTATTGGGCCAGGAAGGGCAGGTGAGTTGAAAAGGTTCCCGGGGTGTCGACAGGGTTAACAGGTAAAGAAAAAAACGTGGGAATGGTAAGCATTTCGACATCGAAACAGCCACCAGGGGGGCCGGCAGTAAGATTAGCTACGTAGCAGATAGATGGCCAGAGGCCGTGGGACTTGAGGCGCACTGTCGGGGGAGCTCCGGTTGGCAAGATCCGAGAGAGACGCTGCTGGCTACAGAAGAGAGAGAGGCAGCTAACTAGTTCATAAGAGGGGGCCAGAGCCAAGCCGGATGGAGAGAGCAGCACAGTCGTCGTGACTCGTGCGTGCGTGTGGCCAGGTATTCCGGGTAGTCCTCGTACTCTTCGTACTCGTCGTAAAAGAAACAAAAGCGAAGAGACTAATCCGTAGACTGCGCCGTAGACACAGGAGCAAACACGATGACCGACCAACACCCCATCAAGCACGCGGCGGCATGACGGGAATCTGTTGCGAAAGCGTATCCTAACACGCTCCGCTGGCTGGCTTGGCGGGAGAGCCTTTTGGCGTCTGGGATATTTGCCGGATCAGCAGGATCACGGCCCATCTTGCCAGCCTAGCCTGGAAATCCGGCAGCTCTAGCAGCAAAGCACTGACATCAGCTTCGGCTAGAAATGCAACGGCGTCGTGGGGACTGTCTTATTTCCCTGCTAGGCCCCTTAGCAGGGAGGGGAATGTCCTGATGTGAGAGATGAGAGGACACCTGGGGGGCTGTGTGGAGAGGCCATCAGCTAAGCTAGCAGCGGCATGACGGACGAGGCGACCAGAGCGGCGGACTGGGTCTCGCGGTGGTTGTGGTGGTGTACCTACTCCAGTAGATGCAGTGCAGCACTTGCTCGGGCGGATCTTAATACCGTACATTACAATGGTAGGTACTTTGCCCAGTGGATCTGAAGAGCCGTGCTCCGTCGCACACACTACCGGTAGGTCCAGGGAGTGATCGGCAAACGGATTGGTCAGTGTACGGGGTAAGGCGAAAGAGGTGCCGCGCCGGTGCTTGGTCTGAGCTCTTTGCCGCTCGTCAGTTTGTCCGAACTAAAGCAGGCGTCGCATTCGCATTGGCCGCTGCTCCACGACTTGTCCTGTGGATGCGGGATGCTTGATATGTACGAACGAAGTACCGACAGACTGGCCTGTGCTGTGGACGAGAATAGGGGCGGCAAAGGGGGCACAGGCGGCCCTTAGATCTGAGTCCGCATGGTCCTGAGAACGGGCAGAGGTTGGTCGCAGTGCAGCCCAGTGTGCAGTGTGCAGTGGCTTTCCCTTCCGTTGGGACTTGCTGGATGACACATGACGGCGTCGAGGATGGTGTTGGTAGTGGTGGGTGGTGGTGGTACCTCCGTAGTGGTGGCTGCATCCTCCTCAAGGATCCATGGATACCTACCGTGCCGTCTCATGCTCCACGCAACTCTCCAGATGCCGGCCATTGGCCAGTGCTTAAGCCAGCGCCATTAGATCCATCTGTATGAAATGGATAGCCCTGGTAATAAGATGTCCATCTCGCTGGCTTGCACCGGGTCGGGGATGCACGCGTACGATGGATGTCATGGCGGCCGGTATGGGCGCTGAGCACATGCATCCATCCCTCTCCCTCTCCAATCTTCCAACAAAAGGTTCAGTCAGTCAGAACATGCCCCAGCCAATGTGTTCGTCCGGTCGTTTAGACTTGAGCCGGTACGGTAGTAATGCCACCGCACTAGTCCAGAGCTCTCGCCTATTAAAGCCGCATTTGCCCAAACCCCGGAAAACCGAACAAGCCGAGAGATAGGTACCATCTCAGCAGCGACGATACGGCCACCAACACGGGTAGATGCCAATATCGGCATAAGTACCTCAGGTAATAACAAAGCACATCCATCCGCCCAATGTTTGTCTGATACTTGCATGGATGGCTTCGTCGATCACCAACGCCCAGCTCCCAACTTCTCCGCAGAGGGTTGTTTTCGGCATGACGAGATAGGTAGGTATGTAGGTCTCTCAGAGTGACCTTGCAAGGGACAGATCAGCTATGAAGTAACAGCTGTTGCTAGCGCTGGAAAAGGGGTGGTTTTCCGTCTCTCCTCCGTAGAGATTGACATCCGTGGTCCATGCGTATATTCCCTGTGTCGACTCAGCGGGGCCGAGCCTTGTTCATCTCGGGGTCTTGAATCTCGCCGTGTCCCCTCTAGCCTGCTTTTTTTCTTGTGTTTTCCCTCAAATGGATGTTGGTTGGTTGTGCGTGACAGCGAGGCACAATACGTCGAGAGAGGAAAGAAAAGCCGGACTCCTCTCTGGTCTCGTCTCTCGTCTCGTCTCGTTTTCCTGTCTAACCAGTTCAGTGCATTGGCTCAATGTCAAGCCAAGCTGTGTGTGGGAAGTCCGTCCTTTACCCCCCTCATCATGGCGGCACCCCCCTTGCGCTGAACATGCAATAACACAGGCTAATAAGACGGGCCCGGCATGTATTCCTTAGCTCGATCCCAATGCCCTGGGAACAAATTGTGGTGTGACTGGAAATAACTGGCATAATGAGATAATAAGGCATGGCACCGCGGCACAATGTCACCGTAGCACACACCAATGCCATGCGCGCCGGCCCCCCGATGCAAGAAGCGGCGCGCGCGCGCGACAAAGCCCACCCCAGTCTCCTCGCTGTTTGCTGAGGAACGGCCGTAAACCCCTCGGACAGACCCCTACTAGGCTACCGATAGAGCAGCCGAGCTAGAAACGAGGAGGAAGCTGGTGCTGCCCTTCGACGCCACCATCAGCACAGTCGGACACTGGGTGACTGGCAATCTCCGCACACCTACTCGCCAATTTGAGCTGCCTAATGATTCTGTAGCCAGCCTTGGCGCCATCATTTTGCAATGCCATCCCATCCCGTCAAGGAATATCCGTATGTCACAATAATGCTGTGGCGGGACGGACGGACGGGGAGGAGGGTACCTCGGTTTCCTAGAAACACCCCGTGCCTTTGCGTGCAATGTTGCACACTCTCCCTGAGACATGCCTCCCTGACGTTTTCCTCCGGGTGCAGCCAAGACAGTCCGCGACAGAAGCCACGCTCGAATCGAGGCAAGATGACTGGTGATCGC